TTTTTTTTTTTTTTAAGAAAGCTTGAGGTTTTACTCCTAGGGTCAAAACTTGCAGAAATTAATCAAAAAGGATCGAGAGTCCTGGTGGTCAAGTTGGACGCGAATCAGCAGTGTGGGCTTGCAGCAGAGAAGGCCACCCTGATGCTGGGCTCTCTCGGCAAGAGCATAGAGAGAGGGGGGAGCGCTGCTATGATCCCCTCTGTTCTGCCCTTGTAAGACCACAGCTGGACACTGTGTCCAGCCTGGGGCTCCCCAGTGCAAGAAGGGTGCTGGAGTGAGTCCTAGAGAAGCTTACAAAATGGTGGTGGGGTGGAGAGCGGGATGTCCGAGGAGAGGCTGGGAGAGAGCTGGGTCTGGTCCAGCCTGGAGGAGAGAAAAAGAAGATCTTGCGGGTGTGTGCGGCTGCCTTATGGCAGGTTACAGAGAAAGTGGTCCAGGATATTTTCAATACTCAAAAAACCCCCCAAAAAAACAAAAAAAAAAACCCCAGGGCAGCAGTTAGATATTAAAATAATTTGCCCAGAGGGAAAGTGGTGGGATCTCAAAACTCAACTGGGCAGGTTTCCGAGTAGCCGGATCTAACTGGGTCTGCTCTGAGCAGGGCATTAGGCTAGATGACCCCAGAGGTCACTTCCAACTCAGAGCAGGTTTTGATATTCTGCTTAAACCTTTGTCAATCGCAGGTTCTATCGTGGCAATTCCTAGTTGAGATACCTCATGAGATACAGTTCCCCATGTTATTTAGATATCATATTATTTGTTCCTTGAATAAATAATTTGTCTCTAATAGTCTTTTTTTGGACCAATACTTAAAGACAGATTACTCTTCTTACCCACGTTTTGCTCTGTGAAGTTTACAAATGTCTCTCCCTGCTTACCCTGGGCTTTCTGTTGGAATACTTTGTTTTCGGGGACATTGCAGGGATAATTGCTCTTCCCTTTGTTTTTTCAGAAGGGATGCTTATGCCTGTGACATGTGCATTTCCAGTCATATAGGCTAGAAGATTCTGAGCTTGTGACCGTGACACGCAAACACCTACAATGTGAAATCTGTAGAGAATTCCTATTATTGTATAGTAAGTAATTTTTATTATTTATGTATTTATTTTTAGAAGATGCATAAATTTGTCGATTTGGACTACTTTAAGGCAGGGGAGGGAACAAGTTTTAGACTTTATCCTTTTGTCATAGCTACGTTTCGTTTTCTTTTCATTGAAAAATTATTTAGCTCAAGATATAAAAGGAAGGGTTTTCTTTGTTGCCTTTAATGCTCATTTACGTAAACATCGAATGTTAAAAATGTTTCCTTCTCTTCTCAATGTAGGTAAATAGCAAGAAACAAAAAATGGACACTCAATTATTTTCCCCATTATTAGGAGCAATTACTAGTACGCCACCTCCGCTAGAATCTTCCCGTCTGTATAGTGACTGGTCAGCATGTGGAGAGGATATGAGCTCAAAATCTTCTTTTCAAGACTGCACAAAGAAACGGTATGAGTGTTCTTAGTATAATCTTGTGGTGCTGTTCTGGAACACTGAAATTGTTACAGAGCAGAACAAATGGGATTCTGGATCTTTTTAGGACGAGTTTATGGGATAGCTAGAAACTCAATAAATTTTCTTTACTGTGTAATAGTTATTATAGAGGTTGTGAAAAAAAGAAAGGGGTCTGTGTGTGTATAGATGTGTGTGTTTATGTAAAAACATTTTAAAATTTGGAAAGAATGCTACTTTTAGGGAATGAAATGGAAAACTGCCATCTGTAATTGAAAACTCCTTAAGGAAAAAACCCACTCTCCTTCTGTGTCTCCCATCCCTCAGTACCGTAGCTCATAATGATCCTGCTTGATAATAGAGAGTATTTCCTGGAACATGAAGAATGCAGAGCACATTATAGACACAGGTCGAGTGTAAGTGGTACCTCTGCCACTGAATGCATAAATATGCGTACAGCTACTCTTGACAATATGCCAGCCTACTGTCTTATTGTGTCCTTGATACAATGCAGCACTCAAGTTTGATTTTATTTAAAAGAAAACCCCAACTTTGCAGGTTTGTATGCTGAATGAATGCAAAGGGTCTTTGTTACTTGAATCATGAAACATTTTTTATTCCCCTGGAGAAATCCACTCTTCCCAAGTCTTGACTAGTGCAGGCACTTCTGCTTATCCAATCTTAGTAATGCAGTAAAATTATTAAAGGTACAGAGAAGAGCAGTGAGGCTGGACAGGGGTTTGAAAGCTTCCATGTCAATAGAGTGTAAATAAAACTACTCTTTGGTTTTGGTAAGTCAGCTCTGCAGAGGAATGATTTCTGTAAAACCATGAATGATAGGGGGATTGCAAGGAATAGGGAATGATTGTTTCACAGTCTAGAAACTAGGGGATACCCACCCAAGTAATTGGTTCTCTCCTTCATATTGGTAATTTTATAGTTTGTGTACAACAATTGAAATTGTAATGTTTCTGTTGCAGCCTTAAAAATATGTAAACAATGCTTTCCTGTTAAGCTTCCCACTCTCCTCTTTCCACCTTAATGCCAAGCGCTGGCAATATAGTATTGCCTTTTGGGGGGGTCGGTTGGTACAGGCTGGCACAGCAGCTTTTGACACTGATGATGCTATTAGCATTTCTAATATCAGTCTCACAGCATTTTTGATTACTTGCCTAATAAGAAAAAGGAAGTTTGAGGTGGGGAAAAATAGTAGTTCACTGGTTCACAAGATGCAGAAAGGTCACAGTTTAGGAAGATACATGCATTGCAAAGAAGCTAAATACCATTACCTTTTTTTTTTTTGCTAGTCTTCCCTGGGAAGTGTCACAACGATGTTTATTTTTAGGTTTTTTTGTTTTTTTTTTTAATAGAAGGTCATACAGCTTTAATATTAGCTGTAAGTGCTAAGTTTAACCTCTCGCAATCTGCTAATTAATATATAGTCTCTTCTTAAAAGCAGCCTTTAGGTTCTTGCAAGGTAGCAAATGTAAGGAAGCTTTTTTAAAAAAGTGTTTCAAAGAATTAAACAACTAAATGGTACTTGTCTGTTAATGATAATCCATCTGTATATCCACTCTGAGACTGCAGGTATGCACTAGTCCTTAAGGTTAAGAAAAAATATGTTTGTTTTCTTGTTCTTGTAATATTTTAGGGTACTCAGTGCCTAAATGTATTAGGTGCAGTATGCCTGTGTCATTTTAGTTCCTCTAAACTGCTCGGTGAGAGCAACTAACCCATTGCTAGAGATTTCTCTGCAGTATAACTTTGCTTTTGTCCTTTTAATTCTCAATTTTCTGGCCATTGAAATTATTCCACAATAAATTCTAGGAGTCCCAGTGCCTCAAACTGGGTTTTTAGACTTTTTAGACCTTTTGTTAGACCTGTATTCTGGTGCCACAAACTTCTCTTGAGGAATGTCCGTTTGAAAATCCGTCCTTGTTCAGCACTAAGTTGGATGAAGTTATTGGCACCTTTAGAGAATTCAAGCATATTCTCAAATATGGTGTCTCCCCAAAAGAAGGCAATAGTTCCATCTGACTTCTGTCCTCAAAGGCTGGGCATGTCCCCAGCTTCAGTTCTAGAGTTAATCACAACAGCCGGAGCAGCATGCAGATGTGGCCAAGGTACCATTTCCACTCGCCTGTTGCTCTTTCATCTGCAGCCCTCCTTCTCCCACCAGTACCTTGGAAGTTTTGCCAAGGAGCTGTGGGTCTTGATTCTTTTGTCCTATTTCTTCTTCTTTCTCTGTTTGCAGGGGCAGGCTTGCTCACTGCCACAATCTTGGTGTCAGGCTGGATGTTCCTCTTCTATTTGGTATAGCTGCAAGCAATTTGCTATGGTCTTGCCTTTCCTGTGTGCTGGTTATTTTCATGGGTTCTTCTTATGTTGCTCTGCCTTGATAGGCAGTAAGTTGTCTTGCAGCACTGGGAAGTAAAAATTTGATTCCTTGATGCTGCAGAACCAAGGGATTTTACAGTAAGCGTTTTCTGGTACCAAACCAGAAAGGATAATGGCTACCTACCTCGGACCTGTGAAAACTAAACGCCTGTTATGCTGGGATTTTCAGTTTTAATTTTGGTTGTCCTGATGTTGGTAACAGATACTTTATTTGGAGACCAGTAGACAAGAGCGTAGTTGACTTCTTTTCCATGTGTGTCAGTGTGTTTCATGGAAAGTATCTTTCTTTCAGAGTGGATCAGGATTTTACAATACAAGACACTTACTGACGCATTACATTACCAAGGATTTTCTGGGTTTCTTTCAGAGTGGATCAGGATTTTACAATACACTTACTGACGCATTACGTTACCAAGGATTTTCTGGTTGCTGGTAGTGAACAGTACTGGCTTGAGACACAAGGCAGGGAGGTGTTTCTAGTCCCTCGTTTGAACAGGTGACTGCATTAAGAGATAGAATTTGTCAAGGATTCAGGTTTCCCTGCTTTGAATTGCATTATAGTGCTTCTGGTGTACCTACCAGAAGGAACAGCTAAACATTTCGTCTCACTGCAGTCTAGTCTGTAAAATTTGGGCAATTTTAGACTCATTGCTGTCCTGTGCTGCTTGTTTCCTAGTTTGTTTGGTTTTTTTCTTTTGTAGTCCACCCAGCTTCCTGCTGTTCTGTCTGCAGTTCTAAAATGGCCAGTAACTTTATTTTTAATTTCAATGCCACATCATAAATTGACTCTGATCTCTCCCTTGCTGAAAATCATTGTGTAGATGCAAGCTTTCATCTGTGATCTCCAGTTGGTTGCAGAAATTGGAAGTACATAGGCCTTCTTTGAGGAAAAAAAAAATTTGCAATCTGACAAAGACACAGAAGAGTTCTGGTTATCAAATATCAGTTACAATCCCATGTTCTTAAAAAAATTTCAAGAATCTTTGCGTTTATGTATATCCTAATCAAAATCACATAGACCAGGTTCCTTACAGAGGAAACATGAAGTAAATAGTAGAGGTAGTTCAAAGTCAAAATGTGGTGAGGCTGTAAAAGCTAGTAAAGCATAAGTGGCTAATTTTCATTGTGGCAAGAGATTAACAAGGTGACAGTCTTAATAGTTTATCCCACGTTTTACAGAACTTGTTAATCTGCAAAATCAGCCTGAGCAGTTATGTGGCAGCACTGGCAGACGATGTAGGGAAGAGTGAGAGATCTTCAGGGATGCTGAAATGAATCAGCTGAGCGAGAGCAGGATGAGGAGTGAAATCTACCAAAGCAAAACGATGCATGTTAGAGGGAAGGAGGTCTTAATGATGTTACGTTTAATTAACTTCTGAGTAAGAGTTAGGTGTCATTACAGACAGCTTTGTAAAGATGAGGTAAAAGATAAAAGTTGGGCTTGTGTAAGAGCAGTGATGGCTGGAACACCTTTGGTATTTATCAGGAATATTTAATAAGTTTTGTCCAACTGTGTTCTTAAAGGGGATTAAAAAGTGGTTCAACTTAACTATAATTTTTTTGAGATTACAATAATAGTTCTTGAATTACAAAAGAGACAATTTATTATCCTCAAAATTTTGAGAAGATTGATCATATTTACCCTCTAAAGGAGACAGTCAAGATTAGAAGAAATGTCTATTAAGAAGTTATGTTGATTGAAAAGAAGAGAATCTTTTGCTGCTCCTGTCTCTTCACATAACAGCTTGAGAAGTCTCTGTTGAAGCAAGAAGTTAGGAAAATTACTCTACTTCATTTAGGCTATAGAATTCACGAATGCAGGAAGACATTTCTGTATATGGGTGCTGAGAATACATTAAATTTGGAACACTTAGCAGGTATTGCTAAAAGATATTAAAGGTTTAATGCTTTGCTTTTACTTTTTTTCTGTTTTGTTTAGGAGAAAGACTTTTATTTATTTAGGCTTTTTTTTTTTTTTTTTCCAGGGCACCAATAAATCTATCTTATTCTGGCAATGGCCCTGATATGTTTGGACTAGTGTCAAGCATTTTAGAGGAGCCAAGCAAGCCAGAACCAGTCACAGACTGGTAAGTTTGTTCTGAAAGTTCTTATATGTTGCATATGGGGTTTTTTATGTCCTTCTGTCTCACAGATACGATGCACACTTTGAGTAATTTCACAGAGTTGAGTAACGAAGGCCTTGTAAATCCACTTGAAATGTAGAAGTGTTTTTCTTCAGTTGCCAATTTAAAAAAAGGCAACAAACTGCTAGAAATGCAAATTTTCTGAAGTCTTCCATCAGCTTACAGCATTTGGGCAGAAAAAAATATCTCATTTTAACCAGTAGGGAGTTGACTGTATACAGTCAATTCTAAAATATTTAATAAATCCAAATAAACTTTGCAGTTCTGAATATACATATTAAAAACATTAGAGATCAGCATTGGTAGTCGGATTTCACATAGCATTTATTCAATTGCAGCGGGAGTATTTTTTCCCTCTTATATTTTGGAGGAAGGCTGTATATATTTAGCCAAGAATGTTACAGGGGAAATGTGTGTGTGTGTGTGTGGGGGGGTTATAACTATGAGGTGTGAACTGTTTCAGTATAAGAAATGTTTTAAATCATTACAGGAGTTTTGTTTAACTTTGTTACAGGAATTCTCTTTCAAGATTGTTTCCACCTATGTGGGCACCTGATCTTGGAAGCAATGGTGAATTCTCAGGGCTCTCGTCTAAGCACTCTGTTGAAAGTAAGGATTTTTCAAACCTGATGGGCACACAGAACTACTATCAGGAACACTTGCAAAAGTCTCATGATGTGGAGGTGTTACACAGAGGTTTGGAAGATCTTCATTTCGTAGAGTCTTGGTTTTCTCCCTCTGGCCCTTGCACTCAGCCTGATAATACCCTGAAGAACAGTTATCCTGAAAATTCCTCTTTGCAAAATAATAACACAGTTCACCAAGAAGGGTTTTCATTTCAAAATGTAGACTATAATCAGCATTTGTGCAGTTATGACCACATGAGGTTAAATGGAGACTACGAAAAAATCGGTTCCAATTTTAGCACTTTTTCTTCTCAGAACAGACTGAAAGAAGGAGCTAGCATTCAGAAGGAGTACTGGAAAACTGAAAGAACAAGAGGCAAAGTTATGAAAAATGATGCTCAAGAACAAACTAAGTATTCCCCCGATCTTTCCAATCAGCCTGTTGATGACTCTTGGGATAAAGTGTCCCAGGAAAACCACTTGTTCTCAAAGAGATATGAAAACTTCACAGCTGCTCATAAATTGCAGTCATCTGTTCATCCATCACTATATTTTTTCAATCAACCCCCTAAAGAAAATAATTTTTCTGGAGGGACAAACAGAAAACCACAGGAAAACCATGTGCAAAATGGTCATCATAGCTTTACTGTGGGGGATGCTTTTAATAATAATGAGTGCAAGATCCATCTTAGTCCTAAAGAATGCTCTCATAAAGTTCCTGAATATGATTTATCTGTAAAAAATGTTATGCAGAATGGGAGTTACTCATCATACCATGGCCGTACATGGCTGGATGGGAAAATTCCAAGTCCAACAGCTGCCTCGGATATCACGTATGGAAAGCAAGTGGTAACAAGTCCGCAGTCATCTTCAGGGGTTTCAACCATGTCTGGTGGTTCTCCCACCCATCAGTCCTCCTATTACTCGCAGATCTCGCCTGTCCTCCCTTCAAGGAAAGATGGAAGGTTACAAATACCAAATGGTGTTTCTAATAATTTGGGAGTTTCTAATTTCATCTCAGAAAATCAGAAGCAAATGAAACCCATTGGACGATCACAGCATGATTCATTGACTAATAAGGAGGGGCAATACCGTAAATTCCCCATTAATTTTTCTTCTGACTGGTTAACACAGCAGAATGCTGTAAGCGAAGACCCTGAAAAATACCACAGATTTCCAAAAAAGCAGACCCAAGAAAATAGTAATAAAGACAATAGAAGGGGCAGAGGGAATTGGATACCTCATTTTGGGTATACAGCCCCAAACCGTCAGCAGTTCAATATGTTCCGAAAAAAGCATGAGCAGAATGGTGGTAACATGTCAGATTTCATTAATCCTTCTTTTCTTCCTTCTTTCCCGTTAATGTCTGATTTCAAGCAAAATCCCAGCTTTCCTCCATTTAATCGCCATCTGTTTTCATCAGCAAATAATTTCAGTTTTCCTCCGTCACCATTTCCGTTCTCAGACCTTGTTGATCTTTTTCATTATGATGACTTCAACCACTTGAATCCCTTCATCAACGATCTGTTTTGCGGGGAAATAGCTGCACCGTATTTTGCCTTTCCAACACCATTGAACAAGTACAGACCTCCAAGAAATCGCAGTGGACCTGCTAATGAGCTTCATATCCGACTGGAGGAGTGTTATGAGCAGTGGAGAGCTTTGGAGAAAGAGAGAAAGAAGGTAAAGCACAGGGAATGATAACTTCTTATCAAAGCTGGCGTGAAACAACTGATGGAGAGTAGATACCCTGGGCTGTCACTCCTTTTGAGGAGACGAGAATTCTGTTGTCACGTTATTAGTTTTAAATACCTAGAACACAATCTACAACATCTGCTTTGAATATAATGCTTGTAGTTAGCATGACAGGTTTTAAATGGCACGTGGCTTTGAGCTTTGGTTTCTAAGGCTTTTAGACAGGGCTGCTAACACCACATGTCTCTCTCTTAACCTACAATATTTGCTACGGCAAATGCAATGACAATGTCAGCACTGAATTATCGTTAGTTTGGATCTTTTTAATCTATAAGGTCAATAAAAGATCGTTAGCTAATTGTTATTAATTCAGTAGGCCTTTGTTATGACTCTAGAGCCACCAGCCATATACGATGATACAGCAGGGCCCTCATGACTACAGGTGGTTCTTAAAGTACTGGTGGTTTATGCACATAAATGCTCATATTGCACAGTTTTAGATGGATTTCTTGTCCCATACTCCTTCTCACCAGCTAAATCTTTAACTCAAGTATTATAAAGCCAGGCTCTCCTTTTTTCCAGCGCAGTCATTTAAGAAGAGAAACTTGTGTTGTTTTGTTTTAGTTTTTTTTTTTTTGTTGGGTTATTTTTGCTGTCAGTGGCATAGCGATGTCTTTCCTTTATTCTTTTTGTTTCTTGTTTCAAAGTCTTTGGTTTAATGAAAAAAAAAAAAAATCCTCATCACCCTGTACATAGCTGTAGAGAAAACGTACAGTGTTTTGAGTGGATGTGACTTCTCCCAAAGGAAGGTTCATTTTATACTCTTCTTGTTACAGTCACTTTTCTGCCTTAGACTCTCTTGCTAGGAATTGTTGTCTGGGGGGGATCACACTGCTGATAAACCTTGGGAATGAAAGCACTGAGCAAAAAAGGAGCCAGAGATGCTTTCCCAGGAAGAGTCAAATCTCTGAACTCCATGCCAGGTCTTGGAAACCAGGTTGCTGATAATCCATGGTCCTGAGTGCCTGTCCACTTCTTCCGTGTTGGTGAAGACTCCTGGTCATTGGGGAGACAGGTATCTAACCAAACTGGATCTCTGGAGAGCACCTTTTTCTTTCCAGCATCAACTGGAAACCTCGCTAATGGCCTTTTGGAGGTCTATATAGAACTGCCTGTCATTGCTCACTAATGCCTTTAAGCAAGACTCCTTTCTGCCCATCCAGTCTTCTACCAGGAATTCTCTGCGAGTGAGAGAGGGCAATGATGATTCTTGCTCCGAGACAACAGTGTTTTCAGAAAGTTGTCTGCTTTCTGTTGTGGCAAAGGCGGCTGTTCCAAACCTGCTCATGCAGGATTTGGGTCAATTAAGTCATTTGGGAAGGCTGAATCATAGTTTTTATCTCATAATATAGGTCTTCTGTGTTTTCATCATTAAAGGAGGACTGCTTATCTTCATATCGTGTTCTTAATTATCAAAGGTATTTAATCGTTGAACTTGATCTGGTCCATTTAAGTGATCCAGTCTCCTCAGGCTCTCTCAGTCCTTGATTTTTGTAGTTTGAGACCACACCTGCAGATAGCTTTATGAGTATAAACCGTTCTCAGTCCCACAAGCCAATTGCATAGCGTGGCTCACATTCCTACAACAATTTATTCCTCAAAAGGGGACGAGTGCATCCTGACTGCCTGACGGGAACGTGCCTGGACTGTGTTAATCCCTGTTTGTAGGTACAGTTTGAGAGAATGCTAGTGGGCAGGGGTTAAAACTCTCAGAAGCTTGTTTTACACTTCTAACAGCCTGAAATATCCCAGGCTCCTGCTTCAGTGTTGTTTAGCTTACTGGTGTATGTATAGCTCACCTGTACATATGTATGTAGGAAGGAACTTTCTTTTGAGATTCTCATCTTTTTGATATTCTCGCCCTACATGAATTCCTTAAGAGTGTAGACAGAAACTCCCCCCAGCAGGACTTGCATTAATTCTGTCTTGTTTAAGCACTCAGCGCTTTCAGCTCTCGGAAACCTGTTTGTTGCAGCTGCATGACAGTGAGCTCATCCACGTCCTCTTATAAATCTCGCTTTTCCAGGGATCTCTCACTTATAAAACAGGCTGGGGGAAGAAAGGATCGAGAGCAGCCCTGCCCAGAGGGACTTGGGGGTGCTGGTGGATGAAAAGCTGGACATGAGC